GAATTCCTCTCTCTCTCCATTACCTGTGCACTCATTTGACTGACACGTGCGTTGAGAGACGTTGAATGGAGAGTAGGCAAATCGGTAATCATTGGGCTGTGTGTCACAGTGCCTGGGCTCTCAGCGCTATTTGTCGTATTAGCAGGTGAGATAGAAACGGCATGTGAGCTGTGTTTGGACCTCTCCACAGTGTCTACTGAACCAGCTCTGGCGTTCCCTAATTGCATGACAGGCGTGCACAGTTCCTGGGCTTCTCCGTGTTAGCCTGTCTGTCACTGCTTTGATTTCTTTTTTAGCTTAAAGTCAGAATAACAAACATATTCAACAATTTCAACAAAACAAAAACGTCAACATAGCAGTGTATTTTCACACACTGCATGACTATTACTCCCACGATGACGCAGATCAACCGAATATCTACTCGCTTTTTTATTCCACAATGGTCGAAGGAGCGCAAAACGTCGATTTGCGAACTTAAATTGCTTAACTAAGGCAGCAGTGAGACACCAAAGCACGACTGGACACTTGCAAGCTACGGTGCTTCTAAAAACTTTTGGGGACACCCGAGTGGATGCACAGCTCAACGAACAGATGCGAAAGGGATTTATTGTTGGAACTGAAATCAGTGTTTTGGAGGACAGCTGTTTTGGTGAGTACAAACATTTTATTTATTTACTTGCGGATTTATTGATTTTTTAAATGCGTCAGAAAATAGCCCGTTTCGTACACAATTGAGGTGATGCCATGCCCAGTAGTGCTTATAGTGTGGTTCTGTATACAATTTCTCCGGCCGTGGTCACGTGGTGTCCTAAATTATGATATTATGAGAGGTATTTATTGAAGTCGGACTATCACTGAAGTAGGACATCACTGAAGGCCCAGGTGTGAAATGCACGGCCCACCACTGTTTATATGAATGCAGTGGAGTGACAGAAAGACAGAAAGCAAAATGAGGACAGCATGAAAGACGAGGCCCAAGACCAGGAAACAGATGGAAAGATGGAGCGACTGGATTCATTTAAATTATTTTTTTAAACAAACAAAGCCTTGTGTCTTGTATAGACTAACTGTTAATACTAAGCTAGCCATATAATGTGCTGGATTCATGCAGGTGTGTATGGGAAATAAAAAAAAATCAAAGATGTTATAATCATCATGCAGTACCTCTGTGGACCTCTGGGTGAAAAAGGTCAACATCAAAATATGTGCAGGTGAACAGTAACCTTTTTTAAACACAAAATATTGTATTATTTGGGGTTACTCGGTAAACCTACTTAATGTAGTAAAGGCAGTGAGATTAGTACTAGGAAGAGGTCAAAGAACACGGGGAAGAACTTCAAAAGGATGTTTTTTAAAAAAAATGGAACACTAATGATCGACTTTTCTGAAATTTCTCTTATCCTCCTACATAATGTTGTTGAAGTTAACTCTATGATCTGCTGAGCCAGTCTTCATTCTGTGCCAGTTCTTTAAAGATGTACTGAGAACTGGTACAAGGAGCAGGATGGTATGTGTGTGTGTGTTTGTGTGGATTTTTGGGATACGGGTGAGAGGGTAGTTGTGCTTGATGAGCACAGTTCTTTATAAAGTAGTGTCATTAAAGGAAAGACAAGTAGCGAGCGAGTGATTGCAATGATTTGGCAGAGGCGGCACAGACCCCGTCCTCCAATCAGAGGCCTGGCCCACCGCCCTCCAGCCCTACTGTAATCACAGAGTTCACCAAAGGAGACTCACTGCAGCCCAAGTAAAAGCTCGTCTCTGCTATTATTTTCTCACCCCACGGATACAAACGCTAGGACATGTCACCTCAGCATGTTAATGTTAACCTCTAATTACAATGTAAACAGATTTTCACATTACAAATTTAGGACATGTTATTTTTTGTTAAGTTCATCACAGGTCTGTATCCATGCTTTTCTAACGTATCGTCCTTAAATACAAAGCTAGTTCGGAAGAAAGAAAAGACACTGGAAAATAAATACAATTAACACTAGTCTATCAATGGTAGCCATCTTTGCTAATCTCCTACGGGCCAGATCTGTAATTAAAGTTTTATTATAGTATAAATATACACTATATAGTATTAGCTTCCCACCGGGAGTGACTGAGGTGGACAGGATAATAAATGAGCAGATGAGATGGCCAGTTAAGGTGGAGCAGCTTGGAAATAAAGTAGGAGAGGAGAGGTGGAGAAGGTTTGGATGGATGTCAGGAATCTAGTTGCTAGACAAGAGGAGAGCAGAGGCTGGGGACAGGGTGAGACGGAGGCAGATGATCTGCTGTGGTGACCCCTGAAGGGAGCAGCCAAAAGAACAAGACGAATGATTGTAAGATTATCAAACAGAGCTATTGTGACTTCCAGGACACAAAACTAAGTTTTGCATTTTGTCAGATTTACTTTTGTTTGGACTAAGATGGGCGTAATTAAGTAATACATTTACAATAATTAAGGCATAAATGTATTTAAGATAACAGTGGTAAAGTTTGGATGATGTGTTTTGTGATTTGTGTTCTGGTGAGGAGAGAAAAATAGTACAATAGTAATAGTACTTTATAGTACTTTAATGTTGGCTTCATCTTCTGACTCATCATCATCACCAACATCAGCATCACCATCACAAACCTAAAAAGAGCGATGTTTTTATTTTCATAAATGTAATACTTTAATCTAATTTTTTCAGCAATTATCAAAATAGCATTAAAACTACTGCATTAGGCTGCATGTATTTAGTTGTGTAAAGACTTAATTTAAAAAGGTACAAAAGCAAGTTCTAAGGAGACATAATACACGGCCAAAGCCTGAGAACTGAGCACTGAGGTGATCTGCAGTCACTTGGTCTCCAGAGAGGTGGCGCTGCTGCGATGAGAAAAGAGCACCAGATGCACACCAAGGCCGTCTCTTCTCTGTCTCCACTCTTCTCTTAAGAAGACAAGTTTGTTTCTCAAGGTGATTGTTGTGGTGATAAGGGAGGAGCAGTTATCAATGCTGACAGGGGAGCGGCTCAGAGACATTTGCTGATGGGATAAGCGTGTGCCCGTCCTCGCCTTGCTCTCCTTTGCATGATCGTCTCCTCCACTGGTCTGTCCTGCTCTGCTCGCTCACTCATCTGAACACAATCTGCTGGCTGGAATTACCTCCCGGCCCCGGGAAAACTAAACATGATTTCTGACCTTTTCTTTCTGTGTTCAACACTGACCTTTACTGCACTACCAGACCACTGCAAAGAGCACGGCACACAGTCCTTTTTATATAAAACTACAGTATAACAGGAATCTGAACACGTATACACACATTTATGTGCAAAGAGGCAATTTCTGCACACTTTCAGTTGGAACTTTCTGGTGTTGTGTGCTTTTTATCAACAATATACAGTATGTTATCCTGATGGAAATGAAGCTGCTACTTAAAGATTGTGACTGAAGTACACATTATTTGCAGGTGTCAGTATACTGTAGGTGCCATAGTTTAGATTGTTGTTGTGAACAGATCAGCTATTAAAAGTAATACGTTTTAATAATAAAATTCATCCAGAGTGTTATCTGAACAATGGGTTTAGAACCAGCATCTTTGAGTGTGTGGGGCACAATGGCTCCAGTGACATGGCCGACATGCGTACACAGGTCCTAGACTTAAGGCGGGAATACGTTCCTACTGTGCAACTTGACTCAACTTCTGCCGTAAGTGGGAACTCACATCTTGCACATCAGTACCTATGTCAGTTACCTACGCTAACACGCTATCGTCATGATCGAGGACATAAAAACATCAGAAGAGTCTGACTTACCCTTGGAAGCCATAATGAAGGGCAGAAACTTCCCCCCCAAAAAACAACAAAAGAATCCAATGTATGGCGTACAACCGGTGAAGGCAAACAAAACTGTCTTCCGCCTGTATCATCTATCAGTTCCCATAAAATTATGGAACAAGATTTATTAATAAATGTATGAGAGATGGCGACACGACCAAATTGTTCTGCTCACATTATAAAAGTGTGCTCTTGTCTAGCCTTAACACGTTACAGTAAGTGCTTCATGATCGACTGCTGCTGTTAGAAGACATATTTCTGCAAACAACGGTTTGTTTGTATGAAGAAGAGCATTTTTTCTCAGGCCATTTCATGACGTCATCACTCTGTCTGCCTACCTTGTTGTTGTTGTTGTTGTTGTTGTTGCTGCCCCTTGGTAGGTTTTGCATTGGAATTAACACTAGCAGTTTGGAAGATAAGGCTAATTGATCCCCCCTCCTCTGTACATCAGCAACCTGTTGTGTTGATGTACTTCTTCCACTGACTCTGCATAACTGCTACTCAGCTAAAGCACAAATTGACCCCCAAGAGCAATGTGTGTCTCTATGGAAATGATTTCATCATCTCTCTCTCTCTCTCTCTCTCTCTCTCCCTGCTCTGACTGCTGCCCTCCTCCCCCCTCTCCACCTGTCCATCTTCCATATACAGTACTGCACCTATGGAAGACAGACAAGGTTACAGAAACTAACAGGCAGAGTGACGTGAAAATCCAAAGGGCGCCAGCAGGGAACAGTCAGCTGACTTAACAGAAGGTTTGTGCATTTGAATTGTTTGATGGTGTGGAAACACACACCGCTGGTTTATCCAATGCCTCACCTCACACTTAGTTTTCAAATTTCTTAATATTTTGCATGCTACTTGAATCATAATAATTTCCATTTTACTTCTGTTCAAAGAGAAAAAAAAACAGCCTTTTTCTGTTCCCTGAAGCCTTATCTCTTTAATGGTTGACAACATTATCTCTGTTTGTTTTATTTCTGCTATTGGTTTTTCTCCAACACTCCTACAGAAGTGTACTGCAGGACAAATGTCAACTTTTCACCTTCTTACTTCTCCAGACAACCCGTGGACCTGTAGCAGTGGTTCTCACCCCCTTTGGGGACAGAAATGTTTTCACGCCCTTCCCCGACACACACCCCCACAAATTGAAATACTATTTAGAACCTGATAACATGTATATTTTTATCTGTACAAACCACCGTATGAGTTGCTGCCACCTAGTGACTGGAGGCTTGCTATCATTCAAGCATCACAGCAGCGGTACACTTACATGTCCAGGGTGCCATATGCGATTAGAAGCCCCTCAAGCCCCGCCGGCACCTCACTATGCACCCCCCAGGAGGGCCCGCCCCACTATTTAAGAAGTACTGAATTAAAGGATGGTGCTTTTGAATTGTAGGGTTGTTGGTTTGAATCCCATGACTGGTAGGCAGTGAAGTTGTAGGGGGAGGGTTAGGATGATTCTGAGGACCCCTGACTGATAGGTGCCCAAAAATTAGATGTATTATAATATTACTATAAAATTCTGCTTTGAGGTTTTTCTGTTGGTGGGTATCAGTCTTAATTCTTAAAGTGAATTCTGCACAACATGTAGAAATGTATTCGTGTTCTTAAGTGTGTTACATACTTAGGTGCCCATGGCCATACCCTTCCATGGGGCCCAGAAATCCTGGCAACACCCCTGTTGGTTGGACTGTGATCTGTCCAACAAGAACAGAAATATGACCCAACTCCATGGGCTCAGTCATGTTGAACCCACTGTTCCACTATTCCACGTAACTACTGCTCTGCAATATTTAACACACAACAGTGTTTGGTTCGTTACTGAGCTGCTCCAACACAGACCACTGTTTTCTTCTCTGCCAGATTCATTCATCATCAAAGCAGCAGATCATGTATTTTTGTTCTTTCATTTTTTTTATATATTTTTTTCACACAACCACTTTTCACCTCTCTCCACTGAACTTCTCACTGTTTGCTCTCCCTCCCTCACTCACAATGTTTTTGTTTCCCTCTCTGTCTTTTCAGTCACATTTCAATGGAACTGAGCAAACCTGTTCATTGTCCCTGAGGTAGAAGGAAAAACACAAGAAAGCGATGCAGTGTATTGTAGCAGCTTGGCTCACAGCAGATGGAACACGGCCCCTAAAAAACTGACCCACTCCATTCAGCGTGTAAGTGTGCACTTAATGTTTGTGTCTGTATTTTTTAATATGCAACCTGGCCGTGTTACTGTGAAATCACCGACATCCAACTTTCCACTGTGAATTAGTGTTAGAGAGGGAGAGAGATAGAGTGTGTGTGTGTGTGTGTGTGTGTGTGTTGAAGCCGTATGGGTATGTATGTGTTTGCCTGTTTGTCCTCTGTGTAGGTGTGCGTGGGTGGCAGCACTGCCTTGCTAATGCCAGAGCCTGTTTCTAATCCAGGCCTCCTCAGTGGGCTGTAGCTCTAGCTGTGCCAGGCTGTAACACCAACAGAGCTCCAGCTGACAGCTAGCCTGCTCCTCTCTCTCCTTTCTGGACAGTCCCTGAGCTCAAAACTTAAATAATGGCTTAGGCGATAAAATTGCGGAGGCAGAAAGGAGAGCAAGAATCCAATGCATGCACGGAAATGCAATTTAGTATAAGATCAAGATATATTTATGGACAGACAAAAAGGCATGTGGAGATAAAAGTGAGGGAAACTGGAGCAGCATTCCATGACGGTCATTAAAAAAATAGGAACGCCGGACCTCTTTCCAAGCTGAACATATTGATGCAAAATTTATTATGCAACGTCAACTGTATGGAAATGGATGATTTAGTCGATGAGCAGGGAAGGGAGATCCGTCTTGTCTGCAAAATAGGTCAGCAGTGTTGGAAACCAAGACGGAGATATGACAAATCTTTTTCATCACTTCAGAAGGTGTCGCCGTGACCACAGGAGGTTATCGCACTGCGTGCTCGAGCTGACAGGACGCCTTCCGACAATCTCCACGTGTCTACTGTTTGCATCTGCTAACATTAGCGCTGGCGCTGCTATGAAGACACAACAACAATCTAAAATGAAAGGCTGTTGGTTTCTGCTGTGACATAAGAGATGTAGTCAAGAGAAGTGAAATATAACAAGTGTTACTTCTCATACATCGCAAACAAGCAGCATCTTTGACAGATACTGATTTAATTCTCGCATAAATCAACAAAAACCTTTTTAAAAATACACTGCACCTGTTCCTTTGTTATCTTTAGATGACATTTAAAGTAATCATGGGAGACACTGAATATTACTTTGAAAACAATATAAAAGCATCAGGCAGTCTGGTCATTAATGCTGTTTGTGTTTAGAAATCAGTTCGCTTCATATGGGAGACCCACTGTACAGGAGAGAATGGAGAAAATCCAGTGTGTGGCTCACATCTCCGACTGGTCTGCATCATCACTGATGGAGACATTCGTGGTGCCCATGGTTCAGTATGGAACGGCTGCTGTTCTGCTAGATTAGGTAGGTGATTGGCCATTAATATTCATTTCACAGTGTGTCTTTGTTAGACGGCACCAAGGGTTGATGGAGTGTTTGGATGGATTTACTCTTCCATATATTTCTCTCGAATTTCCAAAGGCAAGGTGGTTTATTTACAGGGCCCCAGTGAAGCTGGACTGTCAGGGAGTAGTTCAATCACATTATAAAATAATTGATTTTTTTAAATATATGTTGCACTATATGTCTGCAATAAATCAATGTCTTAAAATATTTATTTAAAAAAATATCTATATTAAATATGTACATTAACTACAGGTTATGATCAGTACTCATCCAGCAAATTTTGGAGTTTTGCAGGTCATTTACAGCATTGTTTCCCAAAGACTGGGTCGCGACCCTCAGGTGGGTCGCAAGAGTTGTTTTTTGTTTTTTTTGGGTCTTCTCGCTCGTGTTTCAGTGTATGAATAATATCTATTGACTTGGGTCGCGAATGTTTGTGACTTTTAAAATATAGAGTCCACAGAACAGCAGAGATGTTCTCCTGGATGAGCATTGGTCCACGAGGTACAGTAACAGGTTGTTCCCTGATGGTAGGGAAACCAGACTTAAGTGATTTGAACTGCCCTGCCTATAATAAGATTAGAAAACTAATTAGACTGTGTGTATTAATATTACTGAAGAATATGTGTCCTCTACTGGACTAGCATTGGTCCTGAGGGAGCTGGCTGGCCTGTGTCCGCTCTTGGCTTTTGTCCTTCCAACAGGCTCAGTGTTAGTATTTTTTCATTCAGTCTCTAACCTTTGTATATGCATTATAGTAATGACATTATTAATCTGGCAGATTGTGGCAAAAGATTAGTGTTAGCAGTTTGGTTAGCAGTGTAAAAAGAGAAAAGCAATGACTGTAAAACAGGGAAATATATGTTCTTCACAAATCTTCAGACTTCAGGGAAAATCAATCTTACAGCAACATAACAATAGCGAGGGTCTCTGGACATAGGTCTGACCACAGGGACACAAAGACTATTAGCCAACAGACGAAAACAGAATTAGCATTGACATAAATATGACAAACCACTAGGATCTGGAGATAAGAATGAGCATAACAACATGTCTATACGTGATGTCTATACTCACTTCCTGTTCATCGCGTTCACTTCTACTTACTAACCTCTTTAATGACATACTTGTGTTTGATTGCCCCCATGGCGCCGCTCTGACCTGTTCATTTAAGATGATGTGAAACTCTCGGGGCTATTCAAGCACTCATTTTTCCCCTCAGTGGGGTCCCCACGGCGGGCCAATAAGAGTACCCCATACTGACCAGGGAGCCATGGGAGCTCTAAAGCTAGCCACTCAAAACAGTGGAAAGAGACAGCTGGGTGTCATTGTTAATGTGGACACACAGCACCACAATGGCAAAATCAATGGAGCTATAGGGGAAATCAATCTTGACAACACAAGACCCCGTTGCTTGTCTCAACCTGTCTCTGAAGCTTGGACTGAGTGGTAGGGCAGAAGAAAGAAGGGAAGGAAGAAAGGAAAGGAGAAAGAATGAAAAATAACAACAACAACAACAAGCGTGATTTCTATTGGCTTTTCCTCAATCCATCTTTAGGTCTAAATGTGTCCTTTGAAGGTTAGGTGCAGCTGACAAGCCGCCGAGAAGCCAATCGCCCTAATTCAACCAAAACAAGTTTTAAGGTAAAGCCTTTGTGTACAGCAGCTGGGTGCAGCAGGGGAACTAAGTGCTAAGTTTTCTCTGGCTGTGTGTATTTTCCGTCCCTAAATCTACTCCTTCTAGGAGAGAAAGCGAGAAAACATCGTCCATGCCTTAAAATTTCAAAAAGGGCACATGCTATGTTATTGGCAGACACATGAAATAAACCCCCCGAAGACATCAGTCTTTGCCACAGACTTGAAGAATGCGTCTTCTCCTCATTACCATATGAGCAATAGACAGTTAGTAAATGAAAGACTCCGCAAGCTTTAAGATCAAACGCAACAGAATTAAGGCCAAGAAATGAGGATTTTGGCAGGAACGCTGTAAATGTATTGATTGTTTGGAAAGGAACCTGCTTTACACTCTCTGTTAACATTCACTGCTTGTATTTTAAGTGCATATAAATATAGTAGCGTGGGCTATAACCGGTACTTTTAGTGGCTAAAACACCTATATACACACATATATGTAATTTTTTTACATTGTGTGTAATTGCTAGGCGCCTGTGTGCATGTGTAATCACAAAAGAAGTAGCGATAGTCGATACAGGGGCTGGGAGGGAGGGGGTGTGAGGGGGTGAGGGAGCATCATATGAGGTAAAACAAATGAAAAGTGGACATGAATACATGAAGGAGAAAAGAAGACAACTACCTCCACGGCTCTCGCTGTCGGCTGGTTTCACCTGTATGGGCCGTGTCATCTAGAGGGAGAAAACACAGAGCGATAGAGTGGTTAGTAATAGTGGCTCAGTTCAGACATCCAGCCTGTCGTACCATGGTAATAGCTGCTTTAATGTACTCAACAGAGTGCATTGGCTGCAGAGAACAACAAAACACCGTCCTGCTGCTAAGTTGACTCATGTCTGCCGTCTGTGGATGCGTGTGAATAATTCAACCGCGGCTCTGATTGCCAGTACGCGCGTGGTCGTGTGTGTGTTGTTTATCGGAGGCCGTTGAACAACAGGGCGGAGGACATGGACGCGTGTGAGTGTGTGTCAAAACATTAGGCCAGTCCTAGCAGAAGTAGACGCAGCAACAGGAGAACAGATACATCTATGCAGACCTATTGATTGCAGCCTTTGTGCTATGAAGGGAGTCTGACTGAGAAGGATGGAAGCTCACCCTAATCCGTTGATCCTGATAAGAATGGCATCGGCTGGATTAGATGGCTCTGTCGTCACACTGTCGCTCCCTTTTCCCTAAATTACCTTTGGTGTTCATCACTTTCTATGACTTTTCCATTTATTTACATGACAGTATCACTAGTGAAACACACGGTGTCAGATCATATGACGTAAACCAGTGTTTCCCAAACTTTTTTTTTTGGGACCCGTATTTTAAAATCAGTCAGGACCAGTGCTTAAATTATCATTAAGGATCATTACATTTTCAAAATAAAACATTTTTTAGACTTTGACGTTGACGTTTCACTTTTAAATATTGCCAGAATATCTTTAAATGAAGAATAGAGGATTATCTTTGAAGTAAATTAGTAAAAAACTGTGGTCTGGTAAGAAATTATCCACAGACTGGTCCACGGACCATGGGTTGGGGATCCTTGTCGAATACTATATAAAACAAATACCATAAATATACACTCCCAAACACATTCTAAGTACACGGATACAATAGCTAAGTATTAAGTTCGAAGATAAGGGAAGTTCACAGGTCATTGTCAATAACTTATTTTGACCACAAAACTAAACTCGACAGCTTTTTTTTTTTACTGTTAGACTTTTCACTAGCCAGTCCTTCCAGGCAAATCACTGAAGAACCGTTAACGCTGATACTTTGAAACCTTCAAGTGTATGTTTTGCACTTCTGTCCTGCCATCTCTCTTTCTTTCGGTTCAATTTTAGAGCACAGCTAAAAAGGTCAGATTTAAAGACAGGGCAGTCCAATAAAAGCATGCCATGTTCAAGGAGAAACACCATAATGGGATTTTAAAATGTCTTAATAACATGCTGATATATGGGGGAGAGGCCCAGGACCCATTCATTAAGAGCTAAAGGTATCCATTTTCACCTTGAGGAACTGAACAACCTTCCTTCACTGAAATTATTCCATAAATTGAACCATCGTAAATAATAACCAGCAGCAGCTCAGTCTTAGTAGGAAACATGCAGCATATACTGTGTCTGTGTCTGTGGAGGTGGAGGTACAAGCTCATTCTGTCTGGGCTTGGCCCCACCAAACACCCCCCCATCTACTGTACAAGTGCATTCTCTTTTTTGTGTAACAAGCAAAATAACTATGCTACTCTAATGTGAAGACACAAAGCACATGGTCTCACAGCATGAACAGTAAATTACATAACTGAGCTGCAAGGTTTTTCACGTGAATTTGGAGAAACCTTCTTCATGGCATTTTCTACTTCGACGTCTGAATGAATAAAATACCATTTGATTTTTTTGTTGACTTGCACAACGTAAAAAATAGTTCAGAGTAATACTAACCCGTCCATAATATTTCATGGTCAAAGTACAAAGTACTGTGCATGGTGGATGTGAGTAGAAAGCAGACTTGTAGGGATTTTTACTGTTCGACCTTCATTGTGTCGACCTAATTCTCTGTGTATTTGTCTAAAAGCATTTTTGTCTGGAACGACTAAAGGTTTATTAAAGTTTCTCTTTACTAGGAGCCATTATGGGCTTTTGTCAGTCACCACGTCCTCAATGCTAACATCACATCACCACAATATCCTGCTGCACATGTTGACCTCAACACAAGCAGTGCTATCGTCACAGATTAGGAACAGGACAGTATGAACTGTAAGAGAGTTGTAACGAGGAAAGGAAAGGACACTGGCTTCATTACAATGTTAAGTAGAGTAGGGCAGGCGTGTGTGGGCCAGGCTTGGACATGACAGTGTAAAGTAGGGTTAGATGGTGGAAACAAAGGTCAAGTAGTAAGGTATACAGTATTGTATTAACAGCAGGCCACCATCAGCCCACAGGCCAGGAATTTGGGACTCCTGGGGTAAGTTGTTTACAATGTGGTAGGATTTATAAGGTTTGAATAGGAAAGCATGTTAGGGTAAATCAAGGGAAGCATGAGATGGGTAAAGTGAGGTATGGTGGTATATTTACATCAGAAAATATATATATATATACTACATGTCTAAAACACTACATCTTTAATATTTAGCAGTCAATGATTTAGAGCATTGTTTCCCAAAGACTGGGTCGCAACCCTCAAGTGGGTTGCAAGAAAAAAAAATTTTCTGGGGGGGGGCGTCTCACAGGAGTTTACTAATAATGTCTATTGACATGGTTCGCAAAGGTTTGTGACTTTTAAAATATGGGTCCCCAGAAAAGAAGTTTGGGAAACACTGATTTAGAGTACCTTCACAGTAAAACTAACAATTAATTTTTTTGGAAATAGTGTTTGTATCTATTCATGGTAAGAATAATGTTATGTGAAAGTCCATAAAAACAAAAGGTCCAAAGCCCTGCACTCTGTCCACTAAAGAAATGTTCCCATCACTTTTATACTACACCCAACAACATTCAGTGTTTAGAGTTGGCACTGTATTTTACTAATGAGTTTATGAGTTGTACTCTTGTGGTATTGAGTACGAGGGAGTACCACAAAATGAACCGCTGTAATTCCAGCAGGTCCAGAACCAATATGCAGCGGCTGGAACAGAGACACCTGGTGTATTTCCAAGCTGCAGCCTCTGCTGGTCTTTAACATCGACAACGACGAGCCGTGATCACATTGGAACACGATAAACAGAAATAAAACTGCAGTAAATCTCGTCCTAGCGTACAGACGCTCATCTCTCAGTAATAAAAATCTTTTTTTACAGTAGTTATCCAACAGCACTTACTTACTGTGGCTGCAGTAAAATAACGCTAATGGCCTATCACTATGTGAGGTATCTACTGGCTCTCACTCAGCTTTAATATAGAGTAATGTTTGTTCTGGGATCATTAATACGTATTAGTGGAACATCAAAGCTCATATTGCAGCAGTGCTCAGTAACAGGAACATAAACAGCCCCCCTCTGACTGGACCATCTCTGCTGATACAATTAATATTTCCAATTATTGATCTGATGGAGTGCTGAGTGGTGACTGTCAGGGGGCTGCGGCTTTAGCTGATAAATCAGTACCGTATACAGTGAAGAGGAGGCACGGGGAGTAGGGGTACTACAGTAGGAGTGTGTGTGTGTGTGTGTGTGTAAGAGCGATAAAGACAGAGTGAGTTTGAGTGATTAACAGTTATGAAACGCCTCAGGGCAGTCACAGTACTTGTTCGTAGCACTTGTTCATTAGCAATAAATTTACAAATAAAGATGAGATTTAAAGGACTTTCTCAGGCCTGTAATGAACAATGGTTTTATGGTGCAAATGAACCTAATGGGAAAGTACACACCAGCACTGTCTATAAAACTGTGAGCGTATGTATGAAAGTTTTTGGGTGAATAATACCATGGCTTTGTGCCTCTTTTTTTACGTTGTGCATTTCCAGTGAGCTGATAAATGACAGTGACCATGTTCAGTAGTCTTATTATAACTAGCACTCTAGTAACTTCCTTGTTGAGATGTTCACGTTGTAAATGTTAGCAGTACTCCAGCTGAAAAAAAGTTGATGATTAAATGGATATGGACATACAGTAAAAAGTCTGGGTTATTCACGTTCAAAGAATATAAATATCAAATGTATGTTAATAATAATTAAACTTTAATAACTGTCACTTTTCTAATCTAGATTGTTGATCATAGTTTGTATTTTATGTACTTGTTTATACTGTACATCTCTTATTTTGGTTCATCTGCATTTCCCCTTGTTAATAATAATAATAATAATAATAATAATAATAATAATAATAATGGAGTGGTAGACTACTGATTTCGAACAATTGTGAATTGATGTATCCCAACAGGTTAAGCTGGTTTACAAGCTTAACTCCACCACCATGGCTGGATTTTTCTGATTGTGTGGTTTAGTAAAGAGAGTTACGAGTGAGTTTTACTCATGTCTGAAGACTTTAAAAGGTGGTCTTTCATCACCGGTTCAGACAATAAACCCAGGACGACTCCTGGGTTTAGTTTGGGTTTGGTTATAATCCTTTAAACTTGAAACAGATTAGATCAAAATTTCAGTTATTGTGAGTTCAACACCGACGTTACTATCTGTTACCATGTTTGTCTGCGAGCTCACGTGGCAGAACGTGCCTGGGCTTTATAATTTTACCCACATGTGAAAAAGTGCTGTCTACAGCAGTGTGGCACTGCTGATAAGCGGCATCAGTCAGAGCTGAGGAGATGGCACCCACTATAAGCTTTAGGATTCCTATCGGGATGAAGGAGGATTTAATGCTGGAGATGCTGACTTGGACCGAGAGACACCTGCAGACCTCAGCTAGTTAGTATCACATTCAGTGCCAGTTAAAAAAAAAGTTCCACAAAAAATCAAGTCGACGACAACAGTCTGTAAAGTTTATTTCTGTCCTACACAGACGAATGAAATATGAGGTTTCCTTTCTACAGTCGCATCTTCTTGTATAAAAAATTGTTGCTTTTTTTACCGTGTCAGGAGACCGAGGTGAAACGTCTACTTTTCAACACAACAAATTTAATGAGTAATTTAAAAGTTGGCCTTCACATAAATGATGTATGTAGTGAGTGTAAAGTAGCCATGTCCGCGGTGCAGCAGCTACAGTAGCATTGAGGCTGACATTAGGAAGCAGAGC